ATTTATCTTTTGTTATATGTTGATGACATGTTGGTTGCCACAAAGAATAAATCTGATATTGCTAGATTAAAGGAGATGCTTAACTCGGAGTTTGACATGAAAGACTTGGGTGCAGCTAGGAAGATTTTGGGTATGGAGATCTACAGGGATCGGGCTAGAGGTAAGCTTTTCTTGACTCAGAAAAGCTACATTGAAAAGATTCTGTCTCGTTTTGGGATGGAAAAATCGAAGCCTATAAGTACGCCAACTACTGTTAGTTGTAAGTTGTCTTTGTCTATGTCACCTCAATCAGAGGAGGAGTTGTCTTATATGTCTAGAATTCCATATGCAAACGCGGTTGGTTGTTTGATGTATGCTATGGTCTGTACTAGGCCGGATATTGCGCATGCTGTTAGTGTTGTAAGCAGGTTTATGGCTCGACCTGGGAGGGAACACTGGCAAGGGGTGAAAAGGATTTTTCGCTACCTGAGAGGGACAACTGATATTGGTCTTGTGTACGGGAATGGTAGGGAATGCTTGGTCACTGGGTACAGTGATTCTGATTATGCAGCTGATGTGGATACCAGGAGGTCTGTGACTGGTTATGTGTTCACTTTGGGTGGTTCTGTGGTTAGTTGGAAGTCTACATTGCAGTCATCAGTTACGTTGTCAACTACTGAAGCTGAGTATATGGCTTTAACTTCTGCAGCTAAGGAGTCTATTTGGCTCAAAGGCCTAGTAGGTGAACTGGGTATTGCACAGGATTTTGCTACAGTGTATTGTGATAGTCTAAGTGCGATTTGCTTAGCTAAAGATCAAGTACACCATGATCGGACGAAGCACATTGATGTCAGGTATCATTTCTTGCGTACTGACAAGAGGATTAAGGTGAAGAAGATTGGGACTGCTGACAACCCGGCTGATTTCTTCACTAAGCCTGTTCCGTTTAGCAAGTTTAAACATTGCTTAGACTTGCTAAATATTGATTACTACGTGATGTAGTAGGCCCTGAGGGGCGAAGTTGGGGAGCTCCTGGTGTAGGTGTGTTGGCATTAAGGTGGAGCTTGCCCGGGGCTTGTGATGCAGGTGGAGCATTATGAGTTGTTATACTTGGAGACGAGTATGTGATGGGTCTTGGTTGAAGACTTATCGGGATGTATGGCTTATGCATGAGTCTTGCATCGGGTTTGGCTTGAGATGTTTTTTTCACTATGTCTTGATGGGGTCGTTTGCTGACTACGAGTTCTCGTCAAGGTGGAGATTGTTGATAAGTATATTAGGTGACTCGTACTTCGTAGCTTTGTCCGCCCGATCGGGCGGACATTGCCCGGTCTGACCGGGCGGAAGAAGAAGAGGTGCCTGGCAAATTCGTTGAAGAAGCTGCTCTCGCGCCCGACCGGGCGAGCCTTCGCCCGACCGGGCGAGCCTTCGCCCGATCGGGCAGACCTTGCCCGGTCTGACCGGGCGGTGGGGGTTAGATACGTTGAAGCATTCGTATGGAGTTTTCTTCTCGCGCCCGATCGGGCAGACCTTGCCCGGTCTGACCGGGCGGAGAAGGAAAAATACGGAACGCGGATTTTACGATTTAAAGTTATCTTTTATGTTATCTTTTTGCCCAAGTATCTTTTATGTTAGGGATTAATATAAAAACTCCCAAATATCAGTATTAGGGTGAAGAGAGACAGAGTGAGAGCCGTTCTTGAGAAATACAAGAATCATCTTTGTAATCTTTGCAGTTTATAGTGAAATCATTCGATCTCGGTGCCCGTGGACGTAGCTATCACATCGATAGTGAACCACGTAAATTCTTGGTGTTGTTCTTATTGTTTGCATTGAATTTCTTTATTGTTTTCTTGTTTGTTTACGACCTTTGCTTCCGCTGTCGCACAACAGTGTGTTTATATGTTGATGATATGATTTATATGGGTTCAAATGAAGCCATTGTTGAAGAGTTTAAGTCTTACATGATGAATGAGTTTGAGATGACTGATTTGGATTTATTACGTTATTTTCTTGGGTAGGAAGTTATGCAAAGTTCTGATGGCATTTTTATTTCACAAAAAAAATATGCCACTGATCTAATTACAAAATTCAATTTGCTAAACTGTAAGTCAGTCTCTACACCCATGAATGCCAATGAAAAGTTGGTAGCTGAAGATGGTACAGGAATGGCAGATGCAACAGTATTGTTGGAGGTCTGAATTATTTGTTACAAATATTTGAAGCAGGGGGTGGTTTGATAATGCTAAAAATATTTTTATTTGTTCCTATTTTCTAGTAGAGTCGTGTGTATTAGTGGCTAGTAGTGGGTTAGTTTGTTTTTCTTAGTCAAGTGTCATGTTTATCTAGTTGAGTATCATTAGGAGTAGTGGGGTCATTATTCACCACATTCCTAATTTAATGGTAGTAGTGGTTTGTTATTTGGAGTCTATTTAAGGAGTTTGTATGCTGATTTCATTTAATGTAATTCACTTCAGTTTATTTACTTTCTTCTAATTTACTTTTACATTGCAAATGTATATTTTTCCAACAATTTCATCTTGTTTGATTAACTCATCTTCCAATTCAGATCACTTGAGATTTGGGTTGTTAGGCTGCCATTGAAATGAAATAGACCTATGAAATAGAAACTATGGAGAAAAAAAGAAGTATGTAAGAGCTAGCTATAGAGGAGAAAATGTTCAAGTAGTAGTACGCACATTATGCTATGTTTTAGAGGATTATAGATAACATTTGGTTGGTTGGTAAGGAGGTAATCTAGCAGTAGTAGTGTAGTACGCACTTCTAGAGTCCAAGGTTATATTTTATAGAATTATACTACCTCCAATCTAAATTACTCGCAACTTTGAAATATTTTATATCTCACAAATAATATCCCAAACTTGCGAGTAATTTAGACCGGAGGTAGTAGATAACATTTGGTTGGTAGGTAAAAAGAAAGGTCCTACTAGGCCAAAACCTATGACAAGTCCTTCAAATCTAAGTTAACTTGATTGTGTAGAGCTTGTTTTATTGATTGTATTCGTATAAATTAATATATAGATATTATATAGTAATCCGTACTACGTATATCATACCATAAAGTAAATGGATGATCATCAATATTATAGACGGGATTTGATCCTACTTAAATATGAAAATTTTCCAAATTTTTTTTAATGTGAGATACTCTACCTAACATTTTCTTATACTACCTCTGTTTTATTTAGTTGACACATTTCTCTTATCATAGTTATCAACGCATTACTTTAACAATTAATATCTCTAATTCTTGACATTTCAAAATTATAAAAGGTGGATATTAATGAAATATACATTGAGACGATTCAAACAAGATCGATCCCACTTGACTACGTTTTGTCGTAGCTATAAAACACAAAAGCAATTAAAAGTGTTATTTGTAAATAGTGTAAAAAGTCAAATGGTGTCAACTAAAAAAAACAAAGGAAGTACTACCTCTGATTTTTATTATTTGCAACTTTGGGTATTATTTGTGACTTGTGGGATATAAAATATTTCAAAGTTGCAACTAATAAAAATCAGAGGTAGTATATGAGGTTCAAACTCTATTCACTTTAGCTTATTTTTATTAGGAAATTTTTGTAAAAAACTGCCTTTTAAATTTCAAATTTTGCGAAAAACTACCCTAAAAACAAAATGTTGTAACTAACTACCTTATAAAGTATAAAATGTTGTAATTGACTACCTCCCACCGGAATAACACATTTGACTTTTATTTTTCGGTGTTGACCATGTCACGTGAGGGTCACATGACCCTTTAATGACTTAATTCCCCCTTTCCCCCAAATTTCCCCGCTTTATACCAACTCTTTTCCTTAACAATACGAATAATCTGTTATGAAAATATCTAAATATGGATGATTATTATCCCATGTACTATCTAGAATCCTCTAGAGCTGGGTATTTGTTCTTATCCGTTGATGGAACCCTAGGTAATGTACATGTATATATATCCCGTACTAGATGGAATATGAAATACAACGTAACAATCTTTCCTCATCTCTCTATATTTTCTCTTCCATATTTAACACGTTATCAGCACCATTGCTAGTCAACTGAGTAGGATTACCAAACATTTATCTAGAATTGCATATTATTATTATCATGTAAGTATGATCGCATCCCATAACAATTATAATTTAACATTTATCTACTTTTGCATGCTTACTCATTGGAATATCAACATATATAACGAATAAAGAGAATGATATACTTGTATAACTTAAGGTTCCATTCTTATTATTTTTCTCTATAGTAACGTTCTCATCTTCTATTTCGTCCTTATTTATGCATGATTTTTATCAGGTTTATTTATGCATGATTATAATGTATCATCGTACCGTAGGCTTTTCTCATGTCTATTATTTATGCATGATTATAACGTTTAGAACATATTTTGGATACTATTTATATATACTTATCTTTTAATATTATTTTGTATAGTGAAAAATGTCGAACCTTGCGTGCCAAGCTCGAATTTGTGGCCCTTGATATTACCGGAAGGAATTATTTATCATGGGTGTTAGATGCTGAAATACACCTAGATGCTAAAGGGCTTGGTGAAACAATCAAAGATGCTAATAAGGCAAAACCTCCAGATAAGGCTAAAGCCATGGTTTTCCTTCGCCATCACCTCCATGAAGGCTCAAAAATGACTATTTAACTGTGAAAGACCCACAAATCCTTAGGAGTAATCTAAAGGAAAGGTATGACCACCAAAAACAGTGATACTCCCTAGAGCTTGTTATGAATGGTTGAATTTGAGATTGCAAGATTTTAAATATGTTAGTGAATATAACTCATCTATGTTTAAAATAACTTCTCAATTGAAATTATGTGGAAAAAAATATTACTAATGCAGAAATGCTTGAAAACACATACTCCACTTTTCATGCGAATAATATTGTCCTGCAGACACAATATAGAGTAAAAGGTTTTAAAAAAAATATTCTGAATTAATATCATGTCTTCTTGTGGCTGAGCAAAATAACTAGCTGTTAATGAAAAATCATGAATCATGTCCTACTGGCTCTACTCCATTCCCTGAAGCAAATGTGATAACCCATAACGGGAAAGAAACTAAAAACAGAGACCATTCCAGCAGTAGTGGTCGAGGTAGAGGTCGTGGTCGTGACCAATGGCGCGGCCGGGGTCGTGGACGTGGATATGGTAGAGATCGTGGAGGTCATTTAACAAACTCACATTCCCACCAGAAGTGGGAACGTAGGGATGATAAAGAGAAAAGTGATACCAATATATGTTACCGTTGTAAAGGAAAAGGTCATTGGTCTCGGGTTTGTAGAACTCCAAAGCATGTTATTGAACTTTACTAAGAATCATTGAAGAAAGGAAAGAAAGTTGAGGCAAACCTTGTTCTTGAAGATGGTGAAGGTGATTTTGATTTTGGCAATGCCATTCAATTTGATGTTGCTGATTTCCTTACTTCCCTGGAAGTGAATAATTTTGATTTTGGCAGTACAACTCATTTAGAAGCTGCTGATTTCTTCACTGCCCAGAAGGTAATAATTAAAATTATATTGTTTTGTGTCAGTTTTAAGTATTAGACTTATGTTTGCTTATTCTAGTGATTTACTTAAGTTTATTTCTTTCGTCGTAATAAGAACTTTTGCTTTATAAATTTATGAACTATTTAGGTTACAAATAGAGCACCTAGAGAATGGAATCCTTGTGCATCAATCAACATAGAAAAGGTTCTTAAAAGATTTTCTATGGATACAACACATCCATTGAGCAGCCCTATGGTTGTAAGATCACTTGAAGTAGAGAAAGATCCATTCCGACCTCGGGAAAATGATGAAGAAATTCTTTGTCCTGAAGTATCGTATCTTAGTGAAATTGGAGCACTAATGTACCTTGCAAGTCATACACGACCCGACATATCATTTTCAGTTAATTTATTTAGCAAGGTTTAGTTCATGTCCAACCCGAAGGCATTGGAATGGGATTAAACATTTACTTCATTACCTTTAAGGTACGAAGGATATGGGTTTATTTTTCCCAAAGTTATCCAAAGAAAATTTGATTGGTTTTGCAGATACAGGCTATTTATCTGATCCTCATAATGGTCGGTCACAAACTGGATATGTGTTCACATATGGTGGTACTGCCATTTCTTGGCGTTCCATGAAACAAACCATTGCAGTTACTTCTTCCAATCATTCTGAGATTTTAGCAATTCACGAGGCTAGTCGTGAATGTGTATGGTTAAGGTCGGTAGTTCAACATATAAAAGAAGTTTGTGGTTTATCATTTGGGAAAGAGGCACCAACAACTTTATATGAGGATAACGCAGCTTGTATTGCTCAACTTAAGGAATGATACGTCAAAGGAGACGGAACAAAGCACATCTTACCCAAATTTTTCTTCACTCATGATCTTCAGAAGAATGGAGATTTAAATGTATTGCAGATTCGTTTAAGTGAGAATTTAGCAGACTTATTTACTAAGGCTCTTCCGACAGCAACATTCAAAAAGTTAGCTTACGACATTGGATTGCGTCGTCTTAAAGATATCAAGTGATGTAGTCATGAGGGGGAGTTAATGCGCGCTGCACTCTTTTTTCCTTAACCATGGTTTTTTCCCACTGGGTTTTCCCGGTAAGGTTTTTAACGATGCAACATCTTATGCGCATTATAGTGTATTATTTTGTACGGGATTTATAGTAAATGTTAGTGTAGGGAATATTTCAAGCGTTACCCCTAGCTTGAACCCCACTGTGATCATACACTGAAGTACGGTGGCGTCCAAAGGGAAAAAAATAGAGTTAAAGAATCGCCAACAAGTTTTAGGAACTTGTAAATCGTTCACAAGGTGAAAGCTACACCCCTTAACGATCCAAGAGATCGTCAACTCCATAAGGTCTTGAACCAAATAGGTTCAGGGATGAAGGTACAAATCCAACCTAAAAGAGATTGAACCTGCCCTAATAATAGGCCTCTACTTTATTCTAATCGTATTCATGTGCGCTTTCTAATTAACATGCAATCAATAGGATTAACCCTTAACCTGTTTATCTATGTTGGTTGAATATTAATGCAAAAATAAACTATTATTGGCGATCACTTGAATTATAATCATAATTAACCCTAAATAAGATTATTAATTATCTTATTAAGCTTGATTACAAGTACCAAATTCCCTTTAAACATGCATAAAAGGCGTGATCAAGCAATAACAATAAAATCATCAAGCAACATAATAATCATAATAACAATTATAAAGTTATAATCATAATCAAAACAATTATAAAAATAATCATGAATCATGTTAAAGCATAATAATAGCAAGATCCTAGGCATGATAATAACAAGATTAATAACAAACCCTAGCATGTCACTAAACAATAAAAATCAAAGCTTTAACTCTAACATGATACTATTATGAATATTAGGAAGAGAATAAAAGGCATCGCAGGAATCATGATTGATATAAGCAAATCACCATAAATATCATACTAAAAAAAGCATCCTAACATGATACTAGGAATATCCTAAACATGATACTAAGAATCAATTAAACATCCTAACAAGATACTAGGAATCAAAATAACAATCTAAGCATGATTTCTATATCATAAAATCAATAAATCAATTAAAGCACTTACTTGGATGCCTCGTACCTCTTTCTAATAACAAAATACACACGTTAGTAACTTCAAGGAAAATAATAAATCAAACAATTAAATTAAATAATTGAAAGAGAGATTTGGGAAGTTTAAACTAGATTTGGGACCAAACCCTCAGAAATTAAAACCTTTCACGTCTAGGGCGAAGACAACTTCGAACAATGCTAGGTATGTCTAGTGCTAATGTATGAGGAATTGTGTTTGTAAAAATCTAGGCTAGAAAGAGAGAGAGAGAATAATCAAGAAAATCTTGATGAGAGTTGGTAAATGAAAACAGGGTTTTTAGAAAGCTATTTATAAAGAAAATCAGCCAAAAAGATAGAAAATCAAAACAGAGTTCTGACGCGCATAAAATTTGATTAGCGTCGACGCTGGCAATTAGTGTTAGGCGCTAAAGGTTAGCGCCAGGCGCCAAGCCTTAGCGCCAGGCGCTAATGCTTAGCGTCAGGCGCTAATAATTAGTTTCATGCGTTTTTGTTTTTATCATATCTTTTGATCCGAAAGTCCAAATAAGGCATATAATAAGTCGTTGGAAAGCTCTTGAAGTATACTTTCCAACACAATTAAAATCAGATTAAAATCTTTTGTAGATAAAATGATATGGCCGAAATAGTGGAAGGGTGTCAGTTTTAGATAGAGTTTCATGTCTCATTAATATCTTTTTCGTTATAACTCGGATTTAATATTATAATATATAATTGGAAAGATAATTTCAAGATCTATCCAACCATATAAAATTTGGATAAATATTATGAGTTACCACTTCGTACAAAACAAGGATTCTCAAAAGGAGTAGTTTTATTCAATTTCAAACTCTTTAAAACATAATTATCAATCCTAACTCCATTAGGATTTAAAAGAACCTTCTAGAGTATTCTAGAATACTATAATTAATCCTAATAGCTTTAAGAATGATAATTAATAATAGGACCTCCTCTAGATCATTGGGCCGCATATAAAAACCAAACCGGGCTCAGTTTAGTATTTTGGCCATGACTTCCTCATTATTCATCGGAATTGGGCTTATAATATATCGTTGGAAAGGTCTTTTTAAGCACCATCCAACTACACCATTATTGGACCTTTATCATGGACAAAATTAAACTAGAATGCACGTTTTTAAAAAATAAGGTAAGAAAAGAAATATTTTCAAAAACGGAAAGAAGAGATATTTTAATTAAAACATCCTCATCACTAGAATTTTCACACTTTCGCTTTGTTCGAAAATAAAATGACATGAAAGGTATTCATCATTGGGTTTGGTTTTGCGGAGACACAAATGGGTGTCTACAGTTAGTTATTGTTTTATTCAATATATAGTCATCAAATGGGGAGTTTTGTGAAAATATCTAAATATGGATGACTATTATACCATGTACTATCTAGAATACTCTAGAGTTGGGTATTTGTTCTTATCCGTTGATAGAACCCTAGGTAATGTACATGTATATATATCCCGTACTAGATGTAATATGAAATACAACGTAACAATCTTCCCTCATCTCTCTATATTTTCTCTTCCATATTTAACATAATCATATTATATATTGTTTATTTGCAACCCCTTTAATAATTATATGGGCTGAATTGGTGTAACGCGGGAAAATAAGGGAATTAAGACATTAAAGGGTCACGTGATTCTCATATGACATGGTCAACTTTGGGAAATAAAAGTCAAATGTTTCATTTCGGTGGAAGGTAGTCAATTACAATAATTAATACTTTATAAGGCAGTTAATTATAATATTTTGTTTTTAGGATAGTTTTTTCGCAAAATCTAGAGTTTAAAAGGTAATTTTTCACAAAAAATCCTAACTGAAATTGTTTTAGTTTATACTCGAATTATTTTTACTGAATTGAAATTAATCTGATAATTTGAGTATAAACTGAAATAGCTACGCTCCTCGAATTTTTTTTGAATTTTGCAAATGAAAACTAGACAAAATATTGAGGTAGGTGCTGGGGCTGTTATTCGTGCTAGTGATGGAGGTTGGCTGGGTGGATGTTCGTGGAAAGTCACAGCCAGAACCTCTGCTGAAGTTGAACTTCTAGCAATCAAAGGGGGTATGCTGGTAGCTATTAATGCAAGGTACAAGAAAGTGACAATGGAAACTGATGCGCAATCATTGAAGGGCATTTTAGAAGACCTGAAGAAGAGTGGCACTCATGAATTCGCCGCAATTCTAAAGGATATTGGCGAATTACTCAAGGGTGCCTGCAAATTCGAGTTTAACTATATTCGCAGAGAGGCAAACGAGGTGGCTCATCACTTGGCCAAATTGGCTCAGCAGTTAGAAGGGCACATCATGACACATGATTCTGTTCCTCCTTGTGCAAGGCTAGCTTACGAGAAGAATTTAAAGGACAGCAATGACAGCAGCTAGATCCTCTGCCAAAGAGACCATGTTCCTGTCACCAGACTTATTGCTTATTTTGTTATTTTGGATCCATGACTTGTATTTGGATCATCTTTGTTTCTTGGTTTTGTGGAGTGTAACTGCTACAGCAGGTTTACACAGACTTTTGGTGACTAATTAAGTATTAATATATTTCCCTTTTCTTAAAAAAAAAAAAACCTAGACAAAATATTAAACAATTAAAAAAAATGGAATCACATCAAAAGCCTTAGAAACAAAGGAGAACGAAGCGGATCAATGTGACCATGGAAACTGAGTTTTTTTCCACGATTTTGTAAAATTCGTTTGCAGCTTTTTTACAACTTAGGGTGTGTTTATTGGGAGTCTTGTGGAGAGTCTTGAGTGGAGTCTTGAGTTAGTTTTACCAATAATCTTGCATGAAATTTGGAGGAGTCTTGAAGTGAGTCTTTAAAAACCAAACTCTACTCAAGACTCACTTGGCATATATTTGTTGACCAACAAAATTATAGAGTAGTACTTTATTTTTCATCCTTCTTAAAGGAGTGAGTCTGATTTGTGGAAAGCTGATGTGACAGAGTCTGAAGGGGAGTCTTGAGCCTTAGGGATAAACTTACCCTTATCTCACCAAAATCATGAGTTAAGATAACATTTGCTGATCAAGTTTTCACAAATTTCACATTTTGGTAATGAACTTTTATTCATTGCAGTTTGGTGACTGGGGTCAATTTTCCGGTGACATAACTCACCTGAATTGTATTTAACTCACCTTTAACCACACCAAAATTTTATCACCTCCAAAAAATATAATCACCTCCAAAAAAACATAATCACCTGTCATAAATAATTTTCAAAATATTAATGAAATATGTTTTCCGAAAAAACTAGCCATTTGGGTTTAAAATACAAAATCATATTACTTATTCAACGATTTACCATAAATTAACAACAATTAGAAGGGCTTTTTAAAAAAAAAAAAAATAGTTCCATATAAATTCTAGCTCGATAAACAAATCATCATCAATACACAACAAATAAATGCAATTAAAAATACTATAAAAAGATCAGAATTGTCCTTAACATGTAGTTATGAATCGTTCGTCCAAATCTTTTCCAGAAACGGCTTCACTCCAAAAGAGAACAAAAGATGAAAAGGAAGGGGATAATATCCTCTGTATTTGTCTTTAGTTGAGTAAATAATACACAGAGAAGGGAAGAGGGAAGAGCACGCGAAATTGGTTAACAAAGGGAGGAGAAACGTCATTTCGTTAACTTACGTTGTCGATAAAAGAAAAAGGGAAAAAATGACATCAGCTTAA